ATCTGGTGGGCTCAAATTTCGCAATCAAGCGTGTAATGGTCGACACGGCGAAAGGATCTTTGATGAGACCATGTTCGGTTTTGCAACCATGAATTGCAGCGGTGGCGCTTTCACCAAGGGAATAAGAGAGTTTCACAATTTCAATGAGCGTACTAAAATCCATCGTAGCCAAAAAATTTCAACATTTGCAAACAAAGTTTCCCTTATGCGGTTACTAATAATGAGAAATTTTGTTACCTTTATTTAATTAACTATGTTTACTTACCCAATTGAATTTTGCGTCTATTATGAGACACCCTGTAGTTACAAGGGTCTGCGCATTCGTTTTGCTCAGGAAAGAAACATGAATGAACAGAACAAACGAAGCTGACTAGAATTTAAAGGGTTCTCTCAATCGGGTGCACTGCACTGACAACATTGCTGGGCTTTTGAAATCACGTTTTGCTCTCAAAGGAACATTGGGATCGTTTCGCCCTAGATGTATATCACTAGCCAATGAAGACCTGCGACAGTGACCTTTATCCTAGTTCGTGAACGGTGTTTGCGCCCATCAGCTGTGTCTCCAGGTTACATTAAACCCGATGATCCGTTCGCTGTGAGCAAGAATCTGATTGGTTGGGAGTACGTAGACGCCATTGTTATCCTTTCTGAAGAAGAGAGGAAAGCGAAAATGTCAGTCCAGAAGCCTGTCAAAATCATCCAGTCCTTCGGTTTATGCCTTGCACACAAAGAGTGCAAGCTCGTACTGCTGCAGGACGACAGTATGCACAAGATTTGAGCTGGAAGTTGTGGAACGCTAGGCATATGTCAGAAGTCAGTAGTGTAACAGAAGACGTGAATGCACGAGTCTCAAAGGCCACAGATAATTTCGCTAATTAATGTCACCTGTGGCATCGAAATGACCCAAAGGACGCTTATATCAGAATACAGTGGGAGTTGTATTGTTATACTACTGGGAGGGTTTGTCGCTCCAAGCGGAGGATCTGAGACGTCTTCGGGTTTTGACCACGGATGCCTCGGACCTTAGCTGGAGTCGGAATGAGGTTATTAAGAAATGGGTTTCCGGCAAAGAAGACAGCACTTTAGTCAATGGATCCACCTTGCTAGAGCGACTGGGTCTTCTGTAACGCATGCCAAGTTGCCATCTGTCGAAGCCAGCGCGGCTTCCCTTACCTAATTTGGATTGCCCGGAGCCTAGAGGTGGACAGAAGATTACAGAGCAGAACGGGATGAAAGACGTTACAAAACGTTTGGGAGCTGTTGGCGTTGTTCGCTTTTCAGAATGGGGTCCACGTGACCCTCCATGTGCTACGGCTGGACATATTGAACCACATGTCAATGTCAGGGGCGTTCATACAGTCAGTCCCTATTTAGACTGCCTGATTGAGTGATGGGGTCTTACAACCACGGATGTTCAGGCTAGTCTTAGGTCCATCATCCCACCCAGTTTTTTCTTCTCAGCACTGCAAGGCTTTACTCAAATAAACTAACATGGTTGTACGGCAGTGAAGCACCAATATTCTCATTAGGTGATGATATTGAGTCTCAGTCAGGAGACACAGGTGAACTAGGTGATGCGCCTCGACAAATAACCTTATTTTCACACAAAGTTTGTTTTGACAGGGACTCAAATGAATCCAGCTCTGCCCATTGTCTATGATGGACCCCAAGAAGAGAAAGCAGGACGTGGGCTGCCGATCAGCTTTCAGCAACCTTATGAAGAAGGAGTTACGCCGTTTAGGTAACGTGATTGTAAACGAACACTGCAAAGCAATTTCACGGGTCCCGTAATACACCTCACCTTCCATTAGAAGCGAGGCGGAGTTACGAGAAAACCACATGCTACTCGCACGCCTCATCAGTAGTATCCACCGTTACACTGTGCGTCATACTGGCGATGTAGCAAAAACTGTGGTCAGTAAAGCTGTAAACTGTCTTACCTGTGTATGGCTGTACAAGTCCACTAGCTTAGAATGCCTAACACTGGCTTGACTGGAGAGAGTAACGTAGTTCACGCTGGATTCGTTAATCGCCTTCAGGGCGAACTACGCTCAGAATTCGTCGAATAGTGAGGTAAACAACTCCGAATACTTTCATCCATGGGTAAGGACTACAACTCTATTTTCTAGTAAATCTCCACACGATAAAACAATCGTATCAGGTAGGTTAGATTCCTTCAAGTAAACACCGGATGCCGGAAATCTACTGAGATCCTCAACCCCACTAGATGGTGACCAGACGGACAACGCCCCCTCAAAATGCAGCACGTCACAGCCTTGCATCAAAACCAGACGGCGAGAGTCAGCGTTGGGCCAAGGTCAGACAACACCCCCTCAATATGTGTGTGTGTGTGACAGCCTTGTATCAAAGCCAGACAGCGTTGGACCAAGGTCAGACAGTTTTCCTCCAATCAAATAGCTTGAAGCCTCTGTACTTGCGCACTCATACTCGCTTGTTCGCAATAAAGCAGTTGTGTTCCTATCGGCGGGTCTTTTCCAACACTAGGCACTGGAGCGGAAACAGAATTCGTATATAACGAATTTCGATCGGCGTTAAGGGGGTTCACAATACACGCATTGTGATTTAGTGAGAATAGGGGCGATTGTTCACGTCTTATTCAGACAGCAAAACAAACTTGCTCACCAGCAAGCACATCACTTGATAAGTTAGTTAGTATTTGATTCAACTGAAGAGGTTTGGGGACTTTGGTGATACTCGCTGTCCAATGCCAGCCTGCCTTAACAGCCTATTAAGCTGATCGTTTCTTCTACGGTTCAGTCGACTTTATGTGATTCGCCATAAAGTCAGAACAAACTGCCTCTTTCGAGATATATACACATTTACAAATCATTTTGGTTTTCACGGGAGACTCAACTGAATCTCTCGTTTATGACGTCCTCCAGCTGAATGTGCGAAAACCGGTCGTGGGCTGTCGAAGTGTAGTGAGTAGTTTCCTTTACGAAAATATACTGCGATATCTCGAATATCGTGCCAACTGAATCATGAGGCGGCCTGTGTACAGCACATCCAGCTGGAGGACATCATAAACGAGAGATTCAATTGAGTCTCCCGTAAAAACCAAATTGATTTGCAAATGAGTGTATTTCTCGAAAACAGTGCAATTTGGGTTCAAGTAGAACATAAGGTTGACGGAAAGTCGGGGACTGCGCCTACCTGATGAGCCCCAAGAAGGGCGAAACCGGTCGTGGATTGTCGAAGAGTTTTCAGCAACCTTATGAATAGTTTCCTTTATGAAAATTTCCTCTTTATTCTAATAATTTGGGCCCGGTTTGAAGTGCGCCCAGAAAACAAATGGTGAAGAACTAATGATACATGCTGCGTTGATTTGTTGCTAACAGGAAGGAAGTTCACACATTTATGTCTACAAGTTGCGTTATCCATATCAGTGGCGCGGTAGAGATTGTGGGTAATTCTGTCCATGGGTTACGAAACCAGAAGAATCTATGATTACTTTTCATGGTAGTGAGAACGCATCCTGGACAGACTGCGGACTTCCGAAAACTGCGTATGTCCAGTCCATCTTAATCAACAGTCTACAACTGGACGATCCGGACAATGCTACAGGGACAGAAGAGGCGGACTCACTTAGGGCAGTGTTATCGTATCACTTAATTAGTTTTTTTCAGTTTCCAAAGCATGACGATGGTCCCGGCATGGAGTTCATTTGGCAAAGCATCTGAACAGGATACCGAAGGCGGAACCAAGTCAATCAGGAGTAGTACAATCAATACATAATCCTCTCAGAAAATTCAGCGGTCTCTTCTCTCCTTCTTAGTAACCGCCCTTAGTTGGGTGTCTGAAAAGTTCCCACTTTTCTTCCATTGGCAGAACGGGACCGATATTTTCAATCATCGTGCTTGTCAGCTGTAATAACCGCGTACTTGTCGTGCAGTGGTTGTAGCTCCCACAGTTTCGTTCACTGGTGATTTGGCGAGTTGGGGTATCTAGCTGCGCATTGGAGGCGAGAGCTGATAAATTGGTGCGTAAATACGGGACTGTCAGTGGAGTGTTAAGTGCGGGAATTGGGAAGGGAGCTATGCGTTGAAGTCAATAGCTTGGATCCAGCAGGATTGTAAACTCGACCCTTGACGGCTGAGCTGATGTCACGCCCATGCGACTGGTGATGCAGTGAACCAAGGTGGTAGTGTGTCTCCAGGGTGAGTTATCCGAAGAATTTTCATCTCCGCTCGTGCAGTGGAAGTTTGTAATCGCTGGATAGAGTTTTTTGTGCTTAGTTCCCACCTCACTCAAATGAATGACATCACGAGAACCATCAAACCGCTAGACCAAAGGTCTAGGAACCTGATATTCACTGGCACAGTACTGCATCCTCTATGGAGAACGACATTATCCAGTTTAGCGCGCAACTGCTCACTTGATCACGCCACTGAATGGCGAGGCTCGGTGCCTCTGGTTACACCTGTGGATCAACTATGATGTCAGCACCCAACAATCAGACATGACCCTGCATTTGTCGGTTGACTGGTTAGTTCATTTACTAGTATGTATTGTGAGCGCTTGTGCTGTTTGCCCTATTGTCATTCAGTCACCTTTCAAGCAATCGGTCTTTCCTCTGGATTACAACAACAACTAGCCTGGTCAGCTACTGACTAGGTGAGCTTCTGATCAAGGCAAATCCAAGCAATCAACAGTTCATTATTCCTGTTGACCTTCGCCGTTGAAGACCGTAGACAGACATCGGCGATCATGACAGACCTGCTATTTGCAGCAACAGGGCCGCGGATGAAGACATACAATCTCATCAAGTTAGGAGGCCAGATATTGCAAATTTCGTATCTTCAGCACAAAATTGGCATTCAGTTGCATTTCAGGCCTGTTGCCATTGTAACGGTGATACTACTGATGGCGGGGCATGCGAGTAGTGTGTTTTTCTGTAAACCCGCTTTGCGTCTCTTGAAAAGTGAGATCGATTGCGGAATTTGTGCAGTCGCTTGGTAGCATTTGCTTGCATTTGAGCAAAAGTCAGTGTTCATCCAGGAAAGTTCAGGAAGACGCGTTCACAGAGAAGATGAAAATTCAGTTTTTGTAAACAAGATCCATACGGAATTTTTACTTCCCTGTCCAACGGTCTGTAACTGTTCAGTCGGCACTTTCCAGTAAATAACTCCAAGATACATACGG